TATTCTATTCTATTCTATTCTATTCTATTCTATTCTATTCTATTCTATTCTATTCTATTCTACACTGTAATTTATGATATCATGCAAAAGGCATAAATCTGTGTGATGCTCTATTTTCTTAGGCAACAGATAGTTTTTGAAACAGACATTCCCTCCAACCTAACAGCCTTTTAAAATTACTGTTCACTTTTAAAAAGCACATTCATTTGAAACTGGACACCGGAAGTGTGCTTTTTATTAAATGTGCACTTCCCAGTTTGGAATATGGCACTAGCCACAACTCCAGGAAAGAATGGGGGAGTTCCTGTTGCCATTTGGCAGTCTTTAGTGGCTGCTAGCAGCCCAGCCACAGATACCATCATATCAGACACACTTTATCAGACTATATCATAGGGACCAGTGGGATTGGTGTTCACCTACCTTTTTTCCAACAGTGCAGCAATATCTCTGTCTGCATTGCTATATTCTGTGTCCAGATTCATGGTGGAGCTCCCCAAGCTTATGGTTTTAGGGGGCTTCAACCTGTTTTCTCTGGGCTCAAGGTCTGAGTGGCACAGGGATTCATGGCTACCATGGCAGCCAAGGACTTGGTTTAACTAATTCATAGTCCAACTGATACGATTAGTTGCACATTGGATCTGGTGTTTGACTCAGGGCAAGGGCATCATGATTTGGATTTTGGAAATATTAACACCAGTCCCTTGCTATGAACAGATCACTCTTTTTTTGGCTCTGAAGTTCTCTGCCAGAAGGTGGGGCTTATTCAATCAACCTGATCCAAGTATCTCATGGACACTGTGTAGTTCAGAAACACTTGTACAGCTTTTCTCAAACTTTGGTACATATTTGACTAATATCTTTGTTGTGGTTTGGAACAAGCAGACAATGAGGTTGCTGGACTAGATTGTGCCTGTGCAGATTCTGTGTACGCAGATATCATAGTGTACCATGGTTTACTGAGCAGCTCTGACAGATGAAGTAACATAATATGTTAACCACTTTAGTAATACTAATTTAAAAATGAAGTGAGACTAAGAATGATGTCAACCTAGCACAGGTAAGGGCCTTCATTGGGATTTACCTTGAGGCAATAAGGGCAGCCAAGTGCATTTATTTCTATTGCAGCTATAGATAGCTGCCTCGCAACCTGTTTTCTCCTAAATAAGCAGAAGCCAGGAGAATTTTTACAGAGTTATTAGAAGAAATATTCACAGCATCTTCTGGATAAAGATACTTGGTTCACTCAGCATTGAGACTCCAGCTGGGCAGGGCCCTTGAAAGATAATGCATGGAAACTTAATTGCTTACTTTGTAAGTCTAAACTGGAAGCTTTAGCCCAAGTTTCAACAGCTCTTTTCACTTCCAAACTGTAATTTGTCACAGCTCACCCAATTAATTCCTAGCCAACATCTTAAATGTTAGCACTTCAAAATATGGTTCCAGTATTTTTCTTTTGCTGGTTACATTTATTAGGTTTTCCCAATTATATTTATTAGACTTATTAGGTCAAGTAATAAGGTGATTGTTTCTTTTTTTAATTAGTGCTACTAAATTGATTAACATATCATGTTCTAATAAATAAAATATCAAGCTCTAAGTTAGTGCAGTCACATTAAGGCACTTAATTACTTGTGATTTGTTTGATTCAAAAAAGTTATGCATTTGAATCTGGATATGAAACAAGAAATAATACTAGGAGTTTATTGAATGCTCAGTTTAATATTGTAATAGAATATTAACCAGATAAAACTATCACTGATAAAATCTAAACTTTTTATAGAAGTTAACACTGTTGAATAGAGTTAACAAACCTAAGATGCTACCTACAGAAGATGTACATAAACCTAAGATATACAACTCACAAAAGCATTTTTTTCTCCTTGTCTAAAATGTTGCTGTCTTTCCAGTCTAAAATTAAATTATACACTCCTTTTTATCTTTCTTACTCAAGAAAATTATAATCTTAACACACACAGTACATAATACTACTAATTTAATTTGGTGTTTATATTCATACTACATACATTATGCATTTAACATATATTCATGATCAACAATAATATACAACTCCAAATACTATTATTATGTTAATTTGGTTCTAAGAAACTACTGTTGTGCCACATAATTATTTGAAAATGTTACTTAATATATTTTATCCTGTTTTTCTGCTAAAGACTACTTAAAACATATACTCTTATTGTAGGCTCAAATTATTTCTCAATGGTGGATTTCCGGTTGATGTTGCAGTGTGAATGGCTGGAAAATAATGGATTCTGTAGAGCCTTGAGAAATCCAGCTGGTAACTATGGTCAAGAGACCCTTCAAGATCATAGCTGCCATGGAGGGAGGTGAAGGAAGGAGAGGTGCTTTGCTGACCATTAGGAAACAACAATTTCCTTATTAGGTCTGAAGCAAGCTCTCCCTGAATGACAGCAGGACAACTTTTTTGGCTGTCATGAAGGTGCAACAACTGGAACCACAAGATTTGTGCTGGAGCAGTGTATGGACAGAGTATTTAAACTGGATGAGACAATTACCAACTTTTACTCTAAAGATTGGAAGTAATAAGAAGAATATTAAAAGATAATTCCTAAGCTTAAGATAGCAGCAGATTGATACACAGAGAAAAAAAACTGAGAACAAAGAGGTGAAAGAAGCCTAAAACAAGGTAATAAAATACAGAAAGCTTGGAAAAAGCTGAAATAATTTGAAAAGTGATCTGCGAGATAATTTATCTGGTTTATTTGTATTTTTAAACTCCCTGATCAGAAAATCAGCTGTTTTTGACAGACTATTTAATGTTGGATTTGGGTTAAGACAGCCATCTACTGGAGGAAAACAAGTACTACAGCACTATAGCCAAAGCATACTAGAGAAAGTTATTTCAATACATACAAAGCCTAATACACAGAATAGAAACAACAATATCTGGAGGACAGCCTGTTAGTGTTTGGGGACAAACCCCCAAGCAGAGTGCACAGCAGCAGTCAAGCCAGGCAGCCAAATGAGAGAGAGGCTGGGCCCAAGAGTATACACACACTGGAGACAAAAACACTGTTTGTAGTTTTTAAATAGTTATTTAATTCAGACAGAGATTAAGAAGTGTCATTCAGTCCATATGTCATTATCCAGTATATCCATCCAGTTACCTAGTCCATTAACAGTAAATGCAATGTCTTTATCTGCTTGTAAATCTTCTCCTCCCGATACCTTTCTCTCAAAGACAACGCTGAGTATGCACAGCTCACCAAGTAAACAGTCCTTTTGTTCAGTAGACATGGTATCTTGCACAGTAGCCAACAAGCAGACGTCTCATAACAGTAGTAAACAGCAGGCAGCAGATAGCAGAGAGACCAGCAGACCAGTGACCAGTAACACCAGGAAGCAGTAACCAGCAACCAGACCAGAAACCAGGAAGTGTTACGTCTCTCTCACTGCCTATTATTGCAGCTTGCAACCGCACCCATAATTATCTAATTACATTTCAGTTTTTGTGCTTAAAGCTACAAACACTTAAACCTAGGTTCATATATTTATTCACCCAAATTAGTTGGTGTATGCATATACCCAACACAGCCCAACCTTGACTCTATTGTTGACAACTTGAATAATTTGAAAACATTTGCTGAACCTTTTTTTCTTTTTGCCCTTTGGAAGATTTATAAAAAGCAACTAATCTGCAAATAACCAAACTTAACTAAATTTGGCTATTGGATTATGTATTTGAAAGATTGGAGGAATCTGGTGGTTTAATTTGGACTTGAACTATTGGATTTAATTTGGACTTGCACTTGAACTTTTAATGTTATTTAACAGAACATTCTATGAAACAAAAGAAGAAAATGCTAGAAGAAAAGAAGGACAGCTAAATAAGACTTTAAAATTTGGACAGATTTGTAAAACTTGAAGATATATAATTGGGAAAATATAAATTGTAAATTGTAAAATAAGGGGTTTTTCAAAATGAATTTACAAGAGACAATAGAGCTATATGGAGAAATATTGTTAATGTTAAAAGATATGCATGAATCTTTAAAAGGTAATAAGAAGACAAGGGAAGTGCTTAAAGATACAGAAAAGAATGTAGAAGCTACTCGACAATTGGGGGAAAAGGAAGAACATGATATTCAAGAAATAGGTGAGAACTTAGAAAAAGCAGTGGAAGGGAAAAATCAAAATGAGACCCAAACAGTTAAAAATAAATAGGAGAAAGAATTAATAAGTAGAAGACATAACCCCCTAAAAGTTTATAACAGAATAGAGAGAAAAGGAAAAAACCTCCTTAAGAAAAATAAAAACGAAGCTTTATTGATGGGAGTTCAAATACTACAGAAGAAAGAGACAAAAGGTAATCAGAAGAGAAAAGTAGGTACAAAACAAAAACAAAAGGAGATACAAGATTCCAAGAGAGAGATATAAAAGGTGGATTAAAAAAAATCAATAAACGATCCAATTTCAAAAAAGTTAAAAGATGATGGATAATGAGAAAATATTTCAACAAAATGGGAAAATATATACAGGGAAAATAGTAGTATACACACTAATAGAAAATATAATTTAATAATATAATCCAAATAAGTCAAGGCAGTAGATGGGAATTTAGGATTAGGTAATTAAACTGTATTATTAATATTAATAGTGTGTTAAAGTATATTATGAATTTAAAATATTAAGGACTAGAAATTGTGTGGGATTTTGAGATGCATTTCTGAGATTGATTAAATAGTGTTAATATTTAGCATTATTGTTAACCCTACACAATTGGAATATTGAAGTTATGGTGGAACTATGAATAATTCTTAAAAAATATTAAATAATACCGTGTTTCTCCAACAATACGCCCCCCCCAATAGGAAGACCCAACATGTTTTCTAGGCATAAAATGAAATTAAGTCCCTCCCCCCAAATTTAGGCCTATTATAAAACATGTGAAATTGGGGGGGAGGGGGGGGGAAACTTGCCATTAGGAGCACCCCATGGGCAGCCACGTCTCGCCACCAGCCGCTCCTAACAGCCAATCATGGCGGAGGGCTCCCTACCCCCACCAAACACCTTTGCTACAGACCCGGGTATGGTGCTGGTTGCAGGCTGGGTCAGTGGGTGGGCGGCAGCAGCATGGATGTCTACCTTATTGTTTCAGTCGTTTCTTGGGCCGGTGGGAATCATGGAAGCTACGGAGGCCCGAGAAGCGATGAAACACTGCCGGTGGACATCCACACTGCCACCGCCCACCCGCTGACCTGGGTCTGCAACTTGGCGGGGGTAGGGAGCCCTCTGAGCTCTGCCATGATCGGCTGTTAGGAATGGCTGGTGGCAAGGCGTGGCTGCCCATGGGGTGCTCTAGGCGAGAGTGTGTGGGGAGGAAATTAATTCACCCCTGAAAAGACATCCTAGATGTTTTTTCAGGGCTCAAAAAAAAAAAAAAAAGACCCGGCCTTATTATATGAGAAACACGGTAGTATTTAGGGACTATAAATATAAGGCACAAAAACATGTTATTTATATTTAAAGGAATTAATGGGAAAAGGAGAAATGGATTGTGAAAAGAGATTAAATCTGTTGAAGTTGTGGAAGTTGGAAGATTAGAATTACATATACCTATTTGTACTATTATTGCTACTGCTGCTTAAAAAAAATTGTCAATGCAATACCCACAAAATATGTATGTTTATATTAAAAAACAAAAAAAATATTTGAAAAAAAATGTCTCAGTGGTTTATAAAATAAACAAATTTACCTTCATCATAACTCAAGATAAAATTTCCTATATTTAAACATATTAATGTTTTATAATTATCCTATCATTTTCATTATTCTTTTTAGCACTTCATGAAGAGTAATCTTTTTTTTCCTCACTCAGAATTTATCTTGTTCTTCATACTATACTGCTTTACTTCTACTTAAAAATCAGCTTTGATTTAGCATTTGCTTTCAATAGAAAGATAGATTTATCTCCTGGGATATAAAAAAGCAACAATGCAAAAAAAAAAATTGTCCTTCTTAACCACCAAGCTCCTCTAATGTTATGACACATCTGATACCTATTCTATTTGTGGGCATGCCTACATATTTGTTATTTATCAGGAAAGATATGATTGAAAATGGATTTTAAAATACGTTACCATTTTATGGTACTTTCTTTTAATAAAGAAATAGGTGCAGTGGTGGTATTCAGCTGCTTTGCAGATGATACTAAACTGGCAGGAATAGCCAACACCTTAGATCAGGGGTTGCCAACCTTTTGGACCTCAGGGACCAACAAACTCATAATTTTAAACCCCATGGACCAGAGGACCTGGGAAAATCCCCCAAAAAGTTTGCAAGAAAATTCCCCATCCTGTTTACCTACCAATCAATCATTCTTTATTTGGGATCGCTGGATACCGTCTCCAGCTCTATTCTCTGGGGGGTGGGGAGACCTTTGGCTTCATGCAAGGAAAGCACCAGAAGCACCAGAAGTCTTTCTTTCTCTCCCCCAAACTCCACTAGAAATGAATCTTTGTGAGACTTGTCGTGCCGGCGCAGCCTCTTGGAGCAGGATGCCTTGCATGATCTGAAAGACTCATTTCTGGCAGAGTTTGGGGGAGAGAAAGAAATATTTTTGCTGCTTTCCTTGCGTGCAGCCAAAAGCAGAAGAAAGTGCAAAGAAGCAGCCTGGTGGCCAGGTGAGGCGCGTGGGGCAAGTTACCCTCCTGCCCTTTCCCCCCTCCCCTCACTACTTCATGTTTTTTGCAATGCAAGGGATGCCAGACCTGTGTTCCCATGGGCCATGTGGGCAGCGCAGCCTTGTGTTCCCATGCAGCCTGCATTAATTGCTTTGGGGGGTGCTTTCAGGGTGACATTTCTCTGCAGACCACCAAAATTTTCTCGTGGACCACCAGTGGTCCCCAGCCCACTGGTTGGTGATCACTGCCTTACAGTAGATAATAGGCTCAAGATTCAGATGGATCTTGACAGATTTAAACACCGGGCCCTATCTAATAAAATGAAATTCAATGTAGAGAAAAGTAAAATCTTATACTTAGGGAAGAAAAACCAAAAGTACACATGTAGACTGGGTGAAACCAGGCTTAATAGCAGCATCTGTGAGAGGGATCTTGGAGTCTTAGTGGACAACCAATTAAATATAAGCCAACAGTGTGCGGTGGCAGCCAAAAAAGCCAATGCAATCCCAAATTGCATTAACAGAGGAATACAATCAAGATCAAGGGAGGTACTAATACCACTCTATAAAGCCTTAGTAAGCCCACACCTAGAATACTGCATCCAGTTTAAAATACTGCATCCAGTATAAAAAAGATGTTGAGAAACCATGCAGAGAAGAACAACCAAGATGATTAGGGGACTGGAGGCTAAAACATATGATGAATGGTTGCAAGAACTGGGCATGGCTAGTCTAGTGAAGAGAAGAACCATGGGAGATAGCAATGTTCCAATATTTGAGAGGCTGCCACAGAGAGGAGGAGTCAAACGATTTTCCAAAGCAACTGAACGACAGGCAAAGAATAATGGATGGAAACTGAACAAGGAGAGATTCAACCTGAAAATGAGGAGAACTTTTCTGATAGTGAGAACGATCAATCAATGGAACGGCTTGCCTTCAGAAGTTGTGGGAGCTTCATCACTGGAAGCTTTCAAGAAGAGACTGGATTGCCATCTGTCAAAAAATGGTGTACGGTCTGCTTACATGACCTACAAGGTTCCTTCCAACTCTACAAAGTCCCCTCCAACTCTTCCAATAAGGCTTGGTAACATGGCACCAGGCTTGAAGTTAATTTAGATATCTGTGGCATGTACTAATTTTATTATAATCCTGACAAGCTTGGGAGGGCAGAGACTTGAACCTGAGTGGGTCTCCTATATACTTTGTTGATTTGTCTCTTTAGCTCGGTTGGCATTTTGTAGCCCAAGTGCGCCCACCCACTTTCTGGAGAGCTTAAATGACCTCTCTGCTAAAGAGAAGGTCATGAGAAAGAGTTGGCTGCTGATAGATATTGTTGCATTTTAACTATTTTAAATCCTCAAGGTGTTCTGGTACCCTACCTGATTTGTAACTCTGGGTTGCAGGTATTGCTGATGAAAAGGAAGGTATTTGGACAGAATGGTTTAGGTTTCCATAAAGGCTGTGACTGTCATTGATCTTCAGTGTGTATTCCCCCATTTCTAATCTAATGATTGGTATTTAGGGCAGCTTTTTTCAAGCAAAGAAACTTTTTGTATTTTTATACAGTACTCCTTGATTTACAACAGTTCATTTAGTAACCAACAGTTCAAAGTTACAATGGCACTGAAAAAAATGACATGACCATTTTTCACACTTACTACCACTGCAGTATCCACACAGTCACGTGTTCAAAATTCAGATGGTTGACAACTGTCTCACATTTATTATGGTTGTAGTCTCCCAGTGTCATGTGATCCCCTTTTGCAACCTTATGTCAAGCAAAATCAGTGGGGAGGCTAGATTCATTTAACAGACGCGTTAATAACTTAACAACTATAGTGATTCACTTAACAGATGTGGCAAAGTCATGAAATGGGGCAAATGGACTCAATTGTGGTCGCAAGTTGAGGAGAGGAGAGGTCTGGCGTGACAAGGAGCGGCTGGGAGGGGAGGGGTGAGGCATGGTCAGGCAGGGCGAGGAGAGAGCAGGCAAAGTGAGGTGCCCCTCGATGTGAATGATGTTGAGTTGGCCATGCCCATGCAGTCACATGATCACCCAGCCACACCTACCCAGCTGGTCAGAACTGGATGTTAAATTATTTGAATCTCACGATTGTACAGGTGGAACTACCTAAGTATTTTTAAATAAATTATGGCAAGCAAAAAAAATCATAACTATTTGCCAATTTGAAGAAAAATTATGTATTTATATTTGAAAGCAAACAATATATCATAAATCATATAAAGATAGGTAAATCATCAGGAAGCAGAAATCTGCATTTATGTACAAATACAGAATTAACAAAGAAAGAAAATCTCCTGTATTTTGGCTTACTTATTGTTTCATGTAGAAAACCTATAAATTAAATCAAGACAGTATGCAATCTTATTATAATAAAATATGATCCCACAATAATTTAAGATTCCTTAGATACAGTGACACTAATTACTATTCTGTGATTAAATTATTTCCTTCTTTTTATTTAGCTTTTAAATTATTATTCTTTAGCTATTAGCGAACTAACAATTTATTCAAAAATATGTTTTCAATGGGGGGATAATCATCATTCTTTGTAGAGTTTGATTCCAATTTCACTTATTTCATTCATCTTGATCTATATGCAGCTCTATTTTAATGTGTTACATAGTTGATATGGTCCAAGCCAGCCAACTTAGATCTAGGAACAGCTTTATGGCAAAAGTGAACATTATTGCGGGTACATAAGAACAAAATCAAATTAAATGATGGAGAAAGAAGACTGTCAAGCAAGGAATAACATTAAATAAGAAAATGGCTGAAGGATTCAAAAAATTTTTACTGCTGGTTCTGTGGGTGTGGCAGGGGAAGGATACTGTAAAATCTCCAGTCAGAGGTGGTATTTGCTGGTTCTGTGAACTACTCAAAATTTCCGCTACCGGTTCTCCAGAACTGATCAGAACCTGCTGAATACCACGTCTGATCCAAACTTCCTGATACTATTTGGAGGACTCTGAATAAGTTGGCAGCTGGAGTGCTACTGTAAGTGTAAAATTCATATGTTCAAGTGGAAGCTCTTAGGTCTTAACTACACTCTGTGTGAATTTGGAGAGATATAGAGTCCAGCCTGCTGATATGTTGGCTTCTACCAAAAACATATACCAATAATGACTTATTTGGGGCCAACTTTAAATCCAGACAGATATCCTGGCAGTTTAAAGTTTGACCTGGATATGGAACAAGAAGAATATACTGGACTAAAGTGAAGATGTGCAGGTTCAAACTCACTTTCAGTCAAAAAAGTTTAACGTAGATTTTAACTCAATCATTCATTTAATGTTCAGTTTAATTTAATAACATGGCTGATGTGAAGATGAAATATGAAATATGAAGCATGCCATCTTGAACTTTTGAGGCAAGATAGTATATAAATAGTTGGGTTCTTTTCCAAGATTTTGAAATTTTAGACAAAGGACAATGTAGTGAAGAAAATAAATTTAAAATGTATGTACCCAAACTTAATCTAGTCCAGCATTAGCTTTACTCTTGTATTATGTGGTGTCTGTGTTAAAATAAGATAATAATTAACAACAACAACAACCCATTAAAAAGCTAAGCTTCCTTTATCTACCATTGCACCTATTAATTTTCCCCTAGAAATATATTCAAAAAATGAGGCTAGCTTCATTAATCATTGCATGTTCATTCTTTTCTATTCCACATGCATAACTTTCTTTTATATCAATTACAACCAATGGTATTTTTAGTCTAATATTTCCATGGCAACAAAGCAAAGAATTGTCCATTTGAGAAAAGAGAGGTACCAGAACTGGGTAACTAGGGAATTCAAAAGGAGCTCTAAGTTGTTTTCCAGTCATTTACTGGCATTACAGATGCATCTTTTGGCTCTTATTCCATTTGATTAAAAATGAATGTAGTCAAGATATAAATAAAGGCCACTTCTCCACTTTTAATATATTTTTGCTACAAAAGAACAATCATGGCCCAAACCTACTTCATTACAGCAGAAAGTGTTACACTCCTTTATATATGTGAATTATAGCACATGCTATTCCTTAAATTATCTGTATTTATGAGAGTGAAACAATAACTTCTATTTTGATTACATATATTGACTCAATTCAATTTTGCATTAGTATCTCACTTCTTTTATATCACATATTCATAATATTAAGCAAGAGAATCCAACAGTCTAGTTTAGATAAAGCTGATTTTTTAATTTTTCTATATTAATTATTATGCTCATGACTCAAAATGTAGGTAGACCAATTTCACTAAAATGAATTGGTACTTGAAAATAATAATTCAGTGATTAGGTACACACATCCTACTTGCTTTTTAAAAAATGGGCTTGTCTAGCAAGTCCAGTTGGTTAGGTTCTCATTCTTCACTAAACCATAATGTATTTAGCTATACTGATTGTCAATTTAGTTTATGGGTTAGCATATTGAAAGATCTGACTTAATATGGTTTATTCAATAAAACAAGCTAAACAAACTATTACCCAGCATAAAATAGTAATAAAATGTTACAATTCGTAAGTTATACTTCATATATCTAAATTAAAAGCTGGTGCTAAACTTTCTTATGCTGGGCTAAAGTTTGTGAGTGGGCCCTCCCTTTGTAATCAGATTGATTTAAAGTTGAATTGTTCTGTGGTTAGGGAGGGACACAATTTATCATTTTATAAAATTATTTTCTTTACAATATTAATATATTTAGCAATATATGAAATACTCTATATTTAAACATTATTTGCAATAATTTAGCTACTGAGGTCATTGGAGGTCATGGTTTAATATTCTGCATACTTGCTTCTGACTAACTGGAAATAAACAATATACCCAAGTACAATTGAAGATATATTATGTTATTTAGTACCTGAAACAATTAATCATATGAACAAAAAGATGCATTGACTGAATTGTATCCAGTGGTGGGATTCTGCTGGTTCTAGCCAGTTCTGGCGAACCAGGAGCAATAATTTTGGCTGGCCTGGCCACCACCACCCCGTCCCACCCACGCACTCCTCATCTCGTCCGCTCACCCGGCATAGCTGCTGCTGCTCTCCATCTGTTCCCCCTGGCTTGCATCCCACACGGCGCTCTCCTCATGGCCCAGCTGAGCTGTCCTGATCTGCCTGGCAGGCTCTTTCTCTGGGTAGGGCAATTCTGAACTAACTGAGCATGCTAAGGCAACTTGGGCGCTACCGCTGTGGCAGCTTTGCCCTGCTGCGCATAGAAACCCGGGAGGCTGCCAGTGCTGAGCAAGCTCATGCCCACGTCACCTACCCTGCCTGGGCTGAGGACAGAGCAGGCCACCAGCAGGTGCCCAGCAAATAACGAGTCCAGGGCTGCGTGAGGTTGGGAAGCCCAGGGTGGTGCCCAAATGAGATCAGAACCAAACAGCCAATCACAGAGGCCATCCGCAATTAGAAATTCCAAAAAGCAAGGGGGGGCGGCGAGAGAGAGAGAAGGTGAAAAGAGAGGAGGCGGGAGAGGCTGGTTGGCCTGAGGCGCACTGGGAACAGAAGTGTGCGGAGGAGCCCAGCCCCGGCCTGGCTCTGTGAGAGGAGTGAAGGCACCAAAGAGCGGCCGCCACTAAGACCAGAAAGAAGCTCTGTGTGCCTCCCAATTGGTGACAGGTGTGGGAGCACTTAAGGCCAGGTGACTCCAGGGGAGAGTAAAGCAAAGGAAATGGAGCCTCCTCTGAAGGATCGCTGGGCCTGGAGCTTTTCCAGCCTGGGCCCTCGGGCACCTCGCATTGGGAGAACGCCCATCTCCACTGAGCATCAGCAACTACCAGCGAGGGGCATTGCTGAGGGGAGGCCGTGTAACATGGATGACTGGAAAGAGGCCCAGAAGCAGCAGCCTGGAAACATGCATACACACAGAGAGAGAGAGAGAGAGAGAGAGAGAGAGAGAGAGAGAGAGATACGGGGCCTTGGGCAACTGCTGTTGGGCGAAGCAGAGGCAGAAAGGGGGCTTTACTCTCCTTGGGGGCAGCGCCCCTCAGCCACCACTCCAGGGGCTTCTCAGCAGGCATCTGCCTACAGGAGGACTGCCGCCCTTGGTGATTAATTGGGGGGGAGGGAAGGAGGAGAAAGTGGGAGCTCCTTTCAGATTCTGGGTGGAGGATTGAGAGAGCTCAGATCTGCAGCTGAGGAAAAGCTGAGGGGGGGGGCTCTTCCAGCCTCACCTGGAGACAGGCAAAGAAAGGTGTCCCTCACTTTAGCACTTTGCTGCCAAAACCAGCCACAGCTAGTGATTATTTGGCAGCAAAGTGCTAAAGCGAGTGAAGTGCCCCCAGAGACACCTTTCTTTGCCTGTCTCCCCTAACCCTAGCCACACCCTGTCAGCAAGCCACTCCCACCCCAGTCACATGACTACCAAGCCACACCCACAAAGTAGGCCACACCCACAGAACTGGTTAAGAAATTTGAATCCCACCCCTGCTTTATAGGTAGATGGTTCTCCCTGGGATTTGCATCTGGTTCGCTGTCTGCAAGTTTGTTCTTTTTGGAGGGTTCTTTTCAGACAGGGTGAGCTGTGGTTTTGCATTTATGTTCAGATGGATGGGTCTGTGGGTGTTTAAGCCCCTGGCCTTGAAGTGAGGAATGCTGCCTGCATTGGGTTATAAGGAGGAATTGGAAACAGATTTCTTGTTAAATTTTAGAAGACAAAATCATGGGGGTTTAATGTAGCGGAGCAGTTTCCTTTGACATTTTTTTTTGCTGCCAAGCTTGATGCTGGATTTACCATACTCTCTCATCTGGTTGCATTATTCATTCCCAAGTCCTTTCTCTGCAGCGTTTTCTCAGTGAAAACTTTCGCCCGTGCACGAGTGGGGTGGGGGAAATCCAGATTTCCAAGTTTCAGATTCTGTATTATGTATAATCTAGCTTCCAAACTCAATTAGATGATTGATAGATAGATGATAGATAGATAGATAGATAGATAGATAGATAGATAGATAGATAGATAGATAGATAGATAGATAGATGTTGTGGCCCCGATTCCTGAGCCTATGCTGTCAGAGGAAGAGGACCTGGAAGATAAGGAGGAGGAACTGGGAATGCCTTCATCCCCAGGACCTTCCTCTCTGGTAATGCCTTCCTCCCCAGGACCTTCCTCCCTGATAATGCCTCAGATTCCATCAGACAACCAAGAGGAACAGCCTGAGATTAATCAGGAGGAAGGCATATCGGAGCAGCCCCTGACAGGGAGTAAAGAGGAAGAGTGTTGGCTCGATCCTAAGCAGCGTCGTAGAGAGAAATGTGAGCAGCAACGTAGGAGGTGTGGGAGGGTCAGAGAGTGAGCTGAGTCATTGAGCCACAACCCACAGGAGATAAAAGTGGGTGTGTTTACTTCAGATTTTCTTCGTGAATGACTATTTTTGTGGACTGCCTTGTGATTTTCTGTGAGTAAAACTTTATCAGTTCGGACTTGGCAGGCAGGACATGTGGGAATGCCAAGAATATTATCAGTTCCAAAGAATTAACTCTGTGAAGTCCGAGCCAGTTTGCCTGCCTGTGTTGGGGTGAGTTTGTACTCTTTCATATTTTGGGAAAGAGGAAAGGGAAGACAGAACAGATAGGTAGGTAGGTAGGTAGGTAGGCAGGCAGACAGACAGACAATCTAGCTTCCAAATTTAGGTAGGTAGGTATAGGCTAAAAATCTCACACCTGATTTCAAAATACTTTATCTAGATTTTTTTAATTACTTTTTAGTTTTACTTGTTTCACTTTTATTTATATTTTATCATTCATATTTCATTTTGTATTCCATTCTTAATTTGAATGTTGGTGGAAATAACTTTGTTGTTGTCAGCTCTGGAATTCATCGCTGGCACAGATGAAGGAGGGGGAGTAATGTAATGGAAATTTTGTTAGAAGGAGGGAAAATAAGTTTAGTTTAAAAGTTCAAGGTCATTAAGTATGTCACAGTAGAAATGTCAGCTCCAAGTAATTGGTTCATGTGATTTATGAGGTGTAGAAAAGGGTGGGGGTAGGTTGGATTTTGTGCAAAATTTTGGGTATGTCTTCAATGCTGAAATTCTACAGCTGATACCAGTTTCTGTATTAATAAAGAACCTTGAGATGATGCCTGTCTCAGAGTTAATGATTAATTCAGACAAATTCTCGAATCCTGACACTATTTCAGCACTCACATTTTTATTTCGGGGCTGCTGATACCCCAGAGATTCCTTTTCCAATGATGGAGAGAACTCAACAATCAGCTGAAACTGAAGGTGAGCAGGAGGGGGTTGCGGGGGGCGCATCTGTAGCTGAATCCTCCAGCTCCCATTTGGAGGAGATGATGGATGCTTTTAGAATTGCAGAAGAGGAAGATAATTTGGGAGCCAGGCCAAGATGGGCTGGCTCACGGGGGAGTTGCCAAACTGCTTTAAACAGGCAGCTCAAAGATAACTCTTCCCCTAGCTTTCTGTACAAAGCAAAGGAGACTACACAGATGCCAGCTGGAAGAGCCCAGCATGAAAACCCATGGCAACAAGAGGTGCTGACTACCAGAGGTACTCCCCACCTTCCAGAAAGGAGGGTACCCCTTGCAGATAGTATCTCTCCAGGGTGGGGATTTCATCCAGGCCAGGGGTGGATTCAGTGCCAATGGATGCCAGCACCAGCAAAGCCCTGGGTTGAAGGGGATCTAACCAGGCAGCAACCCCCTCCAACCAGGCAGGGAACTGGCCAACACCCACCTTCCTCATGGAAACCACAATTGCAAACCCCTATTGAAGCAACCCTGCAGGGGCCTCTCTTTGAGAGAGGCACAACCCAGTAAGGCCTCAGGGCCCTGCCCAGCCTAAATATGTGGCCCATCAGGGTCCTTTCATTCCAGTTCAACCTGCAGGTCCCAGGCCCATACCACCTCCCCAATCACGACCCAGACCGGACCAATTACAGTTCAAGGCCGTCTTCGATGGGCGCCATGAACATTTTAATTACTTCCTCCCTAAAAACCAATCCCATATAGACCAATTTGGAGATCAATGTGACAGAGCGTGATTTGGTTACTGCCATAACAGATGAGATGAATGAAGGGGATGCTTCTGACTGGGTGGCCCAACTACACAACGAACAAGCCCCAGAATTACAAGATGTCACTGGATTTATTCAATTATTAAGACTCAGATTTGAAAATCCAGACAGGGTGACAGAAAATGAAGAGCGGTTAATGGAAATGAGACAAGACAAGTGACCCTTATCAGACTTTATTTGGGACTTTAAAAGGGTCATGAGCCATCTCATGGATTGGCCTGAAAGGATGATTTTACACTACTCTAAGAATGCCATTCTTAAAAGAGATCTTGAAGGCATGCTATGCTGCTGTCCTCAGCTTAGACCGCGACATCAACCCATATTGAAAACCCCTTCCTGAAGGCCCGCCTAAGAGAACTGTGGCTAGGAGACCGCTGACCAGGCCAACCGAAGCTGCTCGCATCTGACCCAATAGGATGATAAATTGTTACCGCTGTGGCCAGGATGGCCATAGAGCAGCTGACTGTCTGGCTCCTGCACCTGTACCCCGAGCACCACAATCAAAGTCTAGTATGGCTGTCAGAGGTTGGAAAAGTCAAGGAAGACCTCCGGACATTAGGCGGGTTGCTAGTCACAGCCTGGAAAGTCCCCTCTATGCAGAAGGGAGCAGCAGACTGCCAGACCGACAACACCTCCCTGAGAACCCGACCAGTGAAGACCCAATGGTGAGTGCTCCCATCATACCTTTTACTGTCAAAGTCAAGTTGGTGGTACCTAACACAGGGGAGGCCGGGGAGTTAGAAGCTGTCATTGATACTGGGTGCTCTAGATGCCTTATCGGACTCCCTATTGTTGAACAATTGGGCATAAAGACTAAACAACTAAACGCCCAATCTGATTTGACCAAGTGGATGGGACATTAATTGGGGGGACCCCTGCTACCCAATTACAGATTTGATCAAGATGGAAATGGGTCCTCATTGCGAACTCATACACTTGATAGGGGCCTCCAGAATGTCGGAATCAATCATATTGGGATTTGCTTGGCTAGACAAATGGGCCCCTACAATCAAATGGGAGGATGGATTCAGGAAAATCCTCATTGGCCCAGGGCCATTGCCACCCTTTCCTCCTATTACAAAACCACCAGTCAACTTGAACCCAAAACGTGAACCAGCATCCACAGCATCCGATCTTCTCCCAGATACCCCCCAAATACCCAACCAATACAAAGACTTGGCTGAAGCATTCAGTGAAGAGGAGTATAATGTTTT